GCAAATGGCCCGTTACAGCCTATCAGATCTAGAGGAGGGGTATTTAGGCCCAGTTCTCATCCTGCTCAGTGCCCTGTCGTGGTTTCCCTAGTGGTTGTCCAAGAGCGTGCTCCTGATTCAAGATTCTTCTGGTTTTTTACTTTGGCTTTGATTTTGACTTCCCTGTATTCTGGTATCCCTGACTTCTGGCTTTCCCTTATCGTTGTGTCTCTTTCTGTATCCCCTGACCTCAGCAAGTATCCTGACTACTCTTTGGTACGTTAAGTCCGGCCATTCTAAGGCCCGGTAATACATTACCTATTAGTCATCTGTGTGACACAATTCTACATGCTGGATCAACTAGTAATCCTGACATTACGACAGGCCAAAGATCCTGTACAATTGTGTCAGCACATAGCTGCTTGCGAGAGAAAGCTAGTGGAGAATGATCACCGTATGGATCAGTTTGCCCAGGCTTTCAGTACGCTCCTTACTCGAACAGCACATCTGCAACCTGTGGCTTCTCCAACTGTGTCACCTCCGCCTAATGTACCTCCTGTAGTACATAAGGCACCTACTATCTCCCTATCTCCTCCCCTGGAAATATTCAAGAATGCCGGGGATTCATTAACCAAATTGAGTATCATTTTGAGGCCTCACCGGGATCTTTTCCCACTGACAGAGCTAAAATCGGTTACCTGATGAACCAACTTAAAGATAAAGCTTTAGCTTGGGCCAATCCTTTATGGGAGAGTAGTAGGAACATTGCACACAATTACCAGGAATTTAAACTTACGTTTGAACCATTAGGCAGGGAGGATGACGCCTCCACTGCCCTTAAGCATATTAGACAAGGAACCCGGTATATCTCAGAGTATGCCATAGAATTTCGCACGTTGGCTTCCGAGGTAGACTGGACTAACAGCGGAGTAATCTCAGCATCTAAGAAGGGATTATCTGAGACTATGTTGGATGAGTTTGCTGCCAAAGAAGTACCGAAAAAACTCAATGAGTTTATTACGTTTATTATGCTAATTGATAATAGACTCAGAACCAGAAATAAAACCAGACGTATGGCTTTGCCATTAGCACCTAATTTCTCCAGACCAGTTGTTCCTGACCTCTCTATACAGTCCGAACCCGAACCTATGCAGTTGGGGGTCACTAGACTGTCCAAGGTAGAAAGACAACATAGGAGAAGAGAGGGTCTATGCATATACTGTGGTACAAAAGGACATATGAGGAGTACCTGTCCCATACGTCCGGAAAACTACCACACCTAAGAACCTTAAGAACCCCTGATGGACTCAGGTGCAGCAGGAAATTTCATTGATGTTAATTTTGTTAAAAAGAATGCTATTAAGGAGAGACTATCACCTCTGGCCGTTGAGGCTATCGACGGGAGACCAGTCTCTCAACCATTAATTACCCATGAAACCTTGCCCATTAACATGTCTATGGGTGCCTTACATAAGGAAGATATAATATTCCAAGTTATTGCATCTCCTTCTTGCCATATCATATTAGGCTTTCCTTGGCTTAGTAAGCACAACCCTCATATCGACTGGGCTAATGGGGAAATATTGGAATGGGGCAAGGATTGTAATGGGAAGTGAATGTTACACCTCACCAAGAGAGTGGGTACCATTAAATTACCCACTAACACACCTCAAACCCCCGAAGTTCCCATACAATACCGGGAGGTTAAGGAAGTATTTAGCAAGAGTCAGTCCAATATCTTACCTCCTCACAGGTCATATGACTGCTCCATAAATCTGTTACCTGGCGCTATGCCACCTAAAGGAGCGGTATATGCCTTATCGCCACAGAAGAGTAAAATAATGGAAGAATATATCAAAGACTCACTAAACAAGGGCCATATACGGAAATCATCCTTACCTGCTGGTGCAGGCTTCTTTTTTTTTAGAAAAGAAAGATGGAGAATTACGTCCATGCATTGACTACAGAGCCTTAAATAAGATTACTGTTAAGAATGCCTATCCTATTCCTCTCATTTCCGAATTGTTTGATAGACTCCAGGGTGCTAAGATCCTTACCAAACTGGATCTCAGGAATGCATACAATTTGGTAAGAATCAAGGAAAATCATGAGTGGAAAACGGCATTTAACACTAAATGCGGGCACTATGAGTACCTTGTTATGCCTTTTGGGTTATGCAATGCACCGGCCGTATTCCAGGATTTTATTAATGATGTACTCAGGGATTATATCTATTCATTTGTCCTTATTTATTCCTCTGACCTTCAAACCCACCACAAACGGGTCAAACAAGTATTGCAGACTTTAGTGGAAAACAAACTTTATTGTAAATTGGAAAAATGCTTGTTTGGTCAGACTGAAGTACAGTTTTTAGGGCAGGGGTAGGCAACCTACGGCACTAGTGCCATGCACGGCACTTGAGGTGTCTTTGCACGGCACCCAAGGCTGCTAGAGCCAAACGCACTCTGGCCTATCAGGAGTCCCAGTAAAACTTCAGATATCTGCAAATACGAAGAGGTGGTGAAGGATAAACCTCAATTTATGCATTGCAGCACATAGAGGAAGTGATCTCAGATCACTTCCTCCCAGCACTTGTGAATGGGAATCCACACTGTAGTAGAGCAGCCCTCGACAGCTATCGCAGCTCCTGTCCTTGACCTGTGCCTGGCCAGCCTGGTCCCCACTGTAACCCAGGGAACCCACCCACACTGCTAGATATACACAGACATGTAGAAAAACCCTCCAACTGTGTCACCTCCGCCTAATGTACCTCCTGTAGTACATAAGGCACCTACTATCTCCCTATCTCCAAATAATATGAACAGCCCACACACACACACAACACACAATCCCCACAAACGCAACACCACTAACAATATACAGACATGCACACAACATGCAGCCTCTCACATGCAATACCCCAAACAGCCCCCACACACTACCAAACACACAATGTGACATATCCATCCACACACAATTCCACAAGCAGCCCTCATACACAGCCCACATTCATATGTATCATACACGACACCATAAACTTCTAATGAACATATACAATATAATAGCTCATATACGCACAAATACAATGATACAAGGCAATTACAGTAAAAATAAGACAAGCAGAATACGGCAGCATACACACCTCAATTTAAAAAAATAGGATCGGCACACTACGGGACATCACTATCCTATATCGGCACAGTGCTGCTAAAAGGTTGCCTACCCCTGTTTTAGGGTATAACATTTCTACCTCTGGTTTTCAGATGGACCCTAAGAAACTAGAGGCTGTTATACAGTGGCCAGTACCTAGCGGACTAAAAGCCATCCAAAGATTTATTGGGTTTGCAAACTATTACAGAAGATTTATCAAGGGGTTTTCTTCTGTAATAGCCCCCATCACCAATATGACATGTAAGGGGGCTAGTAGTACTGTATGGTCTAAGGAAGCTAGAGAGGCTTTTGAACTTCTTAAACAAAGGTTTGCTTCTGCCAACATACTGAGACACCCTGACATCAGCAAACCCTTCATATTGGAAGTCGATGCCTCTGAAACTGGGGTAGGGGCGGTTCTTTCTCAAAGGGAGAGTGAGGACACCCCTTTGCATCCTTGTGGTTACTTTTCCAGAAAGTTGTCTTCCGCTGAGCGCAATTATGATATTGGCAACAGAGAATTGTTGGCCATTGTCCTAGCACTTAAAGAGTGGCGACATCTTTTGGAAGGTTCCAAGGATCCCCTTTTGAACCTTTTGAGACCATAAGAATTTGGCTTATATAGGGGATGCTAAACGTCTACCTTCTAGACAGGCTAGATGGTCTTTGTTTTGACCTGGTCCCAAAAACGTAAAGGCTGATGCCTTGTCTAGACAGTTTGATTCTGAGTCTTTACAGGAACACGAGATATCCCCTATCGTGCCTACTGAATGTATCATTGCTTCTTCTGTTCTTTCACTGTCTTCTCCCTTGCTTGGTGCTATAATGGAGGCTCAGTCTCAGGCACCATGCAATAAACCACTGGACAAATTGTTTGTTCCATTAGGTGAAAGAAAGAATGTGCTGAGGGTGTTCCAAGACAATGTGACTGCTGGACACCCAGGTATCAATAAATCCATATCTGCGATCATGAGATCATTTTGGTGGGATTCCCTTAAAAACGATGTGAAGGACTATGTGCAGGCTTGTTCAGTTTGTGCTGTTTCTAAGGTCCCTCATAAGCTTCTTTGTGGTTTGTTGCAACCACTTCCAATACCTAGTGTTCCATGGTCCCACTTGTCAATGGACTTCATCGTTGAACTTCCAAGTTCCAATGGCTATACCACCATTCTTATGGTGGTTTACTGTTTCTCCAAGATGGCTCATTTTATTCCACTTTAAAAATTGCCATCCTCTCAAGACCTGGTTCTTATCTTTATACATGAGATTGTCCGACTGCATGGCATTCCTCACAATATTGTGTCTGATAGGGGCTCTCAGTTTGTGTCTCGGTTTTGGAGGGCGTTCAGTAAACAGTTGGGCATTGAATTGTCTTTTTCGTCCGCTTACCATCCCCAAACTAATGGCACGGCTGAGAGGGCTAACCAGTCATTAGAGTTATATCTGTGTTGTTTTGTAAATAGCACTCAAGATAATTGGTCCGAATTACTACCCTGGGCGAGTTTGCTAGAAACAATGCTACCCATGACTCTTCTGGTCACAGCCCATTCTTTGTTAATAACGGTCGTCATCCTACTGTCCTGCCGGTTGTTTTATCTGAGACAACTATTCCTGTTTGGATGATCGCCTTTCTTCTATCCGTGATACTTGGACCAAAGTTCATTCCGCTCTCAAAACTGTGACTGATCGCTTCAAATTCTATGTTGATAAACGGTGAGGTGCGAACCCTGTTTACCAAGTGGGTGACAGGGTATGGTTATCATCGCGCAAAACCAAATTGAAAGTTCCTAGTACGAAGTTTGCACCCAGATTCCTGGGCCCCTTTCGTATCCTTCGGAGGATTAACCCTGTGTCATGTTCTCTGGCCCTCCCAGCCTCATTACGTATTCCAAATACCTTTCATGTGTCCTTACTCAAACCTCTTGTGTGCAATAAATATACTGTCTCAAGTGTCCCTCCTCCTCTCTTAGTTGTTTCTGGACAGGAAGAGTATAAGGTCTCCTCCATAATTGATTCCAGGTTTTCTCGCGGCACTTTACAATACTTGGTAGATTGGAAAGGTTATGGACCAGCCGATCGTTCTTGGGTTCCGGCATCTGATAGACATGCTGGATGCAAGATTCACTATTTTCACGCCAAATTTCCTCTCAAGCCTGGTCCTGCCCGCCTGGTGAGCGTTCTTCAGATGGGGGGTAATGTCACGTATTCATCCGCTTATAAAAATGTGGTTAATGGCATTTACTGTCCACACAGGAAAAATTGTGCCGAGCAGCAACCAAATCCACAGAAGGGTTAATGCTGAGCAGCAATTATGCAAATGGGAACCTGGTAACTGCCTTTGGGGTCAAAGGCCCGTTACAGCCTATCAGATCTAGAGGAGGGGTATTTAGGCCCAGTTCTCATCCTGCTCAGTGCCCTGTCGTGGTTTCCCTAGTGGTTGTCCGAGAGCGCGTGCCTGATTCAAGTTTCTTCAGGTTTTTGACTTTGGCTTTGATTTTGACTTCCCTGTATTCTGGTATCCCTGACTTCTGGCTTTCCCTTATCGTTATGTCTCTTTCTGTATCCCCTGACCTCGGCAAGTATCCTGACTACTCTTTGGTACATTAAGTCTGGCCATTCTAAGGCCCGGTAATACATTACCTATTAGTCATCTGTGACACAATTCTACGTGCTGGATCAACTAGTAATCCTGACACACCGCACACACATTAGGCCTTCCCCACAGGAAAGCATTGCATCAATGGTAGACTGTGACCAGAGGCAGTCTTATTACTGCAATTTAAACATTGCAGTTACTCTAAAACTGCAATGTTTTACATTGCCAGACTAAGGGGCACAGGCACAGTGTGATTAAGTGGTTGGGGTGCCTGTAGCATCCCTTTAAATAATTCTTTAAATGTTAAACTACAATTGTTTAAAAGTGAGTGCGATGGTTTTTGCACACTGTATCAAATGGTCCTTTCTGCTCTCTCTCGTTCTCGTCCTAAATGATTGTCATTGTCCTATTCCACCCTGTAAGTACATGTAACACACTTGAAAATGTTTTTTGTTTTTTTTACTATGAATAGATGAGTGACTGAAAAAGGGCATTAATCCTATTTTATAACTATCACATGAGCATATATATCTTACATATAATTTAAAAAGCACAAACCTAATTTGTTTTATGGCAGATTAATGGAACTGTGTGTCTTTAGCCAAAAATTCCTTATCTGTCACAATACTTAGTTACTCTTTGGTGAAGGCCATGGTGTAGATTCTACAAACATTCTGTAAATACGTTTAGCACATATTTGGATTATATCAGCTCTAAGAGAGAGGCCTTTTTACATGTATCTACTGACCTCTCTGCAGAGACTAGGCATATTCTGTCTTAAAGGGACACTATAGGGTCAGAAACACAAACATGTATTCCTGACCATATAATGTTAAAAACACTGTATAGCTCCACTGTCCTCCCTCCGCCCTTCTAAATATAGTAAAATCTTACCTTTATTCCAGTCTGCTGGTGCTGGCTCTGCTCCTTGGCTGTCATCATCAGAAGTTAAGATCTCAGCCAATCATGTTGCTTTTCTATATGAAAGAATTGGATTGAATGAGACGGTCAGTTCCAATGATCTTAGCTAAGGAGGCTGGCTGGGGTGGAGCCAAACACCACCCTGTCCAATCAGCATCTCCTTATAGAGATGCATTGAATCAATGCATTTCTATGAGGAAAGTTTAGTGTCTTCATGCAGAGGGTGGAGACACTGAATTGAGTGGCCAGTGGAGGTATCCCTAGGCTGTAATGTAAACGCTGCCTTTTCTCTGAAAAGACAGTGTTTACTGCAAAAAGCCTACAGGGACTGACTATACTTGCTAGAGCAAACACATTAAGCTGCAGTTGTTCTGGTGACTATAGAGTCCCTTTAAATTAGGGTTGTCCCTTTACTGTATTAAAGACAGTTATGATTTCATTATTCTGTAAGGCAGGGCTTGAGAGTGTTGCCGTTGCGCAGAAATGTGCAAACTGAAAACCTTGCCTTAAATGCCATACTTGGTACCAAGAGATAGCTATTGTAAACTAACAGTATAAACATGATATAGTTTTTTTTTCAGTAAATAGAGGCATTCTGAAAATTCTAAAAGCGAATGCTTATATTAGATCACCCTATATCATATTTTGGTGCATGGAATTCTTTTCTGCAGATCTGAAGGTCATACACATTACAGCAGCACTGTATGATGATGTCATGTCCCAATGGTTAAGCAGTAGCGGGATGTCTAAAACCTAATCCAAAATGTAAAATCGTTAAACCTGCATGGGACCTCCTTCCCTCTTGTTTATTTGTTCAGTTTTTTATATTATTATTATTATTATTATTATTATTATTATTGGTATTTATATAGCGCCAGCTTATTCCACAGCACTTTACAATAAGAGAGGAATTTACCAAATGAGACAATAACAAAATGTAACAGGAACCATAGGTAGTTGAGGACCCTCTTGTTTATTTGTTCAGTTTTTTATATTATTATTATTATTATTGGTATTTATATAGCGCCAGCTTATTCCACAGCACTTTACAATAAGAGAGGAATTTACCAAATGAGACAATAACAAAATGTAACAGGAACCATAGGTAGTTGAGGACCCTGCTCAAACGAGCTTAAGAAATAATACCAGCCACCTGTTAGCACCCTAATGAAAAAGGGTGCTTGTTGTCTAAATATACTCTGTGAATGTTTAAAGGGATACTCCAGGCACCCAGACCACTTCTGTCCATTGGAGTGGTCTGGGTGCCAACTCCCACTACCCTTAACCCTGCAAGTGTAATTATTGCAGTTTTTTATAAACTGCAATAATTACCTTGCAGTGTTAACTCCACCTCTAGTGGCTGTCTACTAGACAGCCACTAGAGGGCACTTCCTGGTCCATAGCACAGAAAACCTGTGCTAGAGCGTTGCTGGACGTCCTCACGCTGTGTGATGACCTCCAGCGTTGCTCATTTCCCCATAGGAAAGCATTGAAAAGTATGCTCTATAGTTTAAAAATGTTGTCCTGAGTTTACAAATACCCAATGTTAACATGTTCTTAGCTTTTTTGCAAGTTATAGGGCACTAAGTACAAGTAGCACTTTGCTATTTCCAAACCATTTTTTTTTTTTCAAAATTAACGCAAGTTACATTGTAACACTGATATCTGTCAGGATTCCCTGAATCACCCTTCACATGTATATATTTTTTAAAAGAAGACAACCTAAGGTATTAAGCTTGGGGTATTTTGACTCTTTTCATCCAACCAGTTTACCACCAATCTATGCCAAATTTAAAAAAATATATATAATTGGTGATTCTTTTGACACACATAGCACTTTAAGTATACACGTACTGAGAACTTTAAGGGTTACTGCCAAAGAACACCCCAATATGTGTCCAGCACATCTCCTGATTACAGTGGTACCACCCATGTATAGGTGTGCCCGGTTCTCTGGGGCTAAAAGACCCTATTTGGAGGGTGTGCATTCCAGTTTTCCAACTTGGAATTTTCTCAGTTGGTCATCACCCACCGAAGTCCTATTTGGGACAGCCGGCCAATGTAATTTACCCCTATCAAACCACATATAAAGTTGAAAAGTAGACACCCTAGGGTATTTCAAATGGTGGTGTTTTAACACTTTCCATGCACTAATTCTACCACCAGTCTTTGTCAAACCTTTGGGTACTAATTTTTTTGTTATTTTTCTCTCGCATTGTACTTTAGGCATGGATTCTCGGTTCCTGTTATGTGTTACTGACAGAGAATACCCCAATATGTGTTCAGCAACATATTCTGAGTACAACAGTGCCCCCAATGTACAGGTTTTATCTTTTTTTGCAAACTGGCAGGGGTAAAATATAGGGCTTTCTTCTTTTCCATGTTTGCACATTGAAATTTGCCAGATTGGTTTGCTGGGCCTATGTTGCCTTTGAGATGGTATGGCAGTCCAGGAATGAAAATTAAGCCCATAATCGCATACCATTTGTAAAAGTAGACAACCCACAGTATTCAAAATGGGGTATGTCCAGTCTTTTTTAGTAGCCACTTAGTCCCAAACCCTGGCCAAAATTAGCCTTTATATTTGTTTTTTTGCATTCTTCACACATAAACTGCCATTTAACCAATGATATTATCAGTATAATACACTTTACTGCTCTAAAACACTCATATTTGTGTAGAGTAATGTCTCACGAGTACAACTGTACCCCTCAAGTACAGGTTTCATGGGGATTTGGGAGGTTACAGGGTCAAAACATAATATTTGCCAATTTCTGTTTGTAGACAACCCAGGGTATTCAAAATGGGGTATTTCCAATCTTGTGTAGTAGACACTTAGCCACAAACGCTTGCCAAAGTTAGCATTCATATTTGTTTTTTGCATTTTTTTACACAAAAACTGCACTTTTACTGTCGTGATATGTTTAACTGTTTTTAACACTAATTTTTGTGTTCAGTGAAGTCTCCCGAGTATAGCAATACCCCCCAAATACAGGTTTTATAGTGTTTTGGAAAGTTTCAGGGTCAATATACGGCTTGCCCAATTTAGTTTGCCAGTTTGGTTTGCTGGGTGTGTGTTGCCTTTTGAGACCATATGGTAGCCCAGGAATGTGAATTAATCTTATCATGGCATACCATTTTCAAATGTCGACAACCCAGGGTATTCAAAATGGGGTATTTCCAGTCATTTGTAGTAGCCACTTAGTCACAAACACTGGCCAAAGTTAGCATTTTTTTTAAACAAAAACTCCACTTTTACTGGTGATATCATCGTCGTGATACATTTTACTTTTTGAAACACTTATATTTGTGTTTAGCGAAGTCTCCCGAGTATAACAATACCCCCCATGTACATGTTTTATAGTGTTTTGGAAAGTTTCAGGGTCAATATAGGGCTTGCCCAATTCAGTTTGCTAGTTTGTAGTTAATAGTTAAATATATATGTAGAATGAGTGTGTGTGTGTGTGTGTGTGTGTGTGTGTGTGTGTGTGTGTGTGTGTGTGT